CCCTGCCCATGGCAGGGGGTGGAACTGGATGGGCTTTAAGGTCCCTTCCAACCCAAACCATTCCAGGATTCCGGGATGGGCTGCCCATCCCTCTGCTCTGCCCTCCAGGAGTTAATTCCTACTTGGAATTACCATCCCCACCTGCAAACCTCCATGGAATCAAGGAGAGCAAAGGCTTGGGCTTAATCATGTTTGTGGATCATCCTAAAATCCCAGAATGGGTTGGATTGGAAGGAACTTTGAAGATCATCTCATTCTAACACCCTGCCATGGGCAGGGACACCTTCCACCATCCCAGATTGCTCCAAATCCCATCCAACCCGGCCTTGGACACTTCCAGGGATCCAGGGGCAGCCACAGCTTCCCTGGGCAACCTGGGCCAGGGCCTCCCCACCCTCATAATTAAAAATTTTTGCTAGAAACCAATTAAAATAACCACCAAATTAGGCCAAACTTGGCTTTAGCTCAGAGTGTCCCAATGCCACACGGGCTGTGGGAGCCAGTGCCCATCCAGGGATTGCCTCCCATGGGATTCTCCCTAAATCTGGGTGTTCCAACAGCAAAGCTTTGCTGCTTGTCCAAAAGAGACCTTGAATTTTATCTCTTCCTAGGATTTAGGGGTTTTTTTTCCAGCCTTCCCAGCGATGCACAGGCACTTGATTAATTAAACAGTTAATTGCTGTATTGTTTAATAGAAGTTACAACAGGATAAATGTACAGTTGGAATTCAACATGCTAAATTCTAAAGCAATTCCACCTGGAAACCATGCAGTCCATTCCTTAATCAGTCCAGCACTTTGCCTTCTCTTTTTTTTTTAATCAGTAGCTCTGCTAGTGAGTTTTAAGGAAAAAAAACAAAAAACAAACAAAACCAAAAAAGTGTTCCCTTTAAAGTTAAACCTAATTTACTAAACTCTCCCCTTATTGTGCAACGACTTGTGCAAAAAAAGCTGTTTTTTCACCACGTCAGTTTACAAAATCACGGCCTTTCCTCCCCCCCCTCCAAAAAAAAATAAAATAAAAAAAATAAGTGAGAAAAGGCAACTCAAGCAGCCGGTGGACAGGGAGGGATTGGGATGGGGGCAGGGATCGGGATGGAGTGTTTTCCTGTCAAAACTGGATCAGAGGGATGAGCCAAGGCGGGAAGAGCTCGGCACACACAGCATTCCAGAAGCCTGAGTTGCCCATGGAATTTTTGGGGTGCTGCCCTCCCCCCCCCCCCAAACTGGGGAAGCTGCAGCAGGGGGATGGATGCAAAGATTCCTAAATCCAGGGGTTGGAGACCGGAGCAGCAAATCTGGGATGAAACAAATCACCCGGTCCCCAAGTCCCAGGTTGAGCTTCCCCCTTTTCCATCCGGCACTTTTGGGGTGAATCCCACCCAGATCCCGGGGAATTTGGGTCGGTTCCCACAAAACTCACAACTTTCCCAGTGGACAGCTGGGCTGGGAGCATCTTGAAGGCATTTGGGATGAGATTTATTTGGGAGTTGTGCTCCCTTCAAGCTCCCCAGCAGTGGGACAAGCACGGAGTGGGGAGCTGTAGGGAATGGGACACAGAGATCCCACCACCCCTGTGGCACCCAGGGGTGGCACACACACCCCACAGGGGCATGGGAGGGTGTTCCCATGCTCCAAACCACTCCACAGTCCCAAAAAAAGCACCAAACCCAACCCAGAACTAAAGGGAAAAGCCAGCCAGGGGTAGGAAACATCCAAAGGGTGGAGATGTTTCTCCCTGGGGTTTGGACACTGCTCGGAAGGGGTGGTTTTCCCCCAAAAGCAGCTCCAGCACAAGAGGCCACCGGAGCAGCCCTGGCTCCATCTCAGCCTCCTCATCCCACGTTGCCTCCCAGCATCTCCCAGTTTGGGACCAGCACAGACCCCCCCCACCCCACACCTCCTGCCCCAAAATTCCACCTTCCCAGCAGCACAAAAGCAGCTGATTTTGAAGGAAACGAGCCCAAAGCAGCCCCTGGAATGAAGCACCAGCCAAACTTCTCCCGGCCCCATCCGAGCCGGGAGCTGAGGCTGGATCCAAAACAAAGTGCAAAAATCGCTGAGGGCGTCTGACCTGAACTCCAGCCCTTGGAATAAACCGAAAAAAAAATCCCAGGAAAAGCCTCCTCCTCTCTCTCACACGTGCTGATGGCTCAGGGAGAACACTCCCCTCACCTGTGGATACACTTTGGGCTGCAAATTCCCACCTTATATAGAGTTATTGCCAACCCTTGGGCTGCCTGACAAGATGATAAAGAGGATAAGAAGTGCAGATGCTTCCCAGGAAGCCAAAACTGGGTGGGTTTTTTTGGTTAATGTATTTTTTTTCCCCCACTGGTGCTGTTTGTTTTCCTGGAATATTTTTGCGAATATTTGCTGGAAAAACTGGGAGAACAACCCAATATTTTTTTTTTCTACAGCCACTGCTTAAAAACTCAAACCCTTTAACTGCCTGGGGAGGGAGGGGTTATAGCAGCATTATTTATCGGGGGGGGGGCTGCAAATCTTCATTTGAGGGTTCTGCTCCCTCTTCTGACCCTCCTTAGAAATTCCCTTTCCCTCCTGAGCAGCTCCATCCCCAGTGGAGGATCATTAGCAGGGGACTTAGAGGGGATTTGGAATGTCTTCCAGGGCTCTTCAGGCAATCTGTTCCAAAGATTAATTTTATTTGGAAGGGGATGGAGCCGCATCTCTTGGAACAAAAAGTTAATTAGGACCAGAGCACCAAAAATGCCATTTTTCATCCCGGGGCTGCGACTCGCGGTTCAGGCTCTTGACCTCCCAAAATCAGGAACACCCAGAATCCCTCCCTTGGCCGAATGTGACTTTCCCAGTGGCAAATCTGGAGTGCCAGGAGCTGGTTTGTGGGATCCCAATCCCAGCTTCTCCAAGAAGAGCTTAAAGGAGCGAGGAAACCCCCCCTGGGCACAGCATGGCCACGTCGTCCCTCTGGGAATTGAAGCTCCGGGTGGAGGTGAGAAGGAGAGCCTGGATGTGGGATGGGGATTAGAAAAAAGTTGTTGCCTCAAGACCCAGCTGTGTTGAGGTTTTCTTGTAGGAACATGGAATACAGGAGGGAAAAATGGAATTTCAGGGTGGAAGCAGATGCTTTGTCCACCAAAATCCCTTCCCTATATTTGAGGATCCCGATCCTTCTCCCTTTATCCCACAGCCTGACTGAGTTCGAGTTGAAGTTCCAGGTGAAGATGGGAAGGAGAGCCTGGGTGTGGGATGGGGATTAGAAAAAAGGTGTTGCCTGAAGACCTCAAGCTGCATTGAGGTTTTCTTGCAGGAACATGGAATACAGGAGGGAAAAATGGAATTTCAGGGTGGCAGCGGATGCTTCGTCCACCAAAATCCCTTCCCTATATTTGAGGATCCCGATCCTTCTCCCTCTATCCCACACCCTGACTGAGTTCCTCTGGTCCCCCTGGAAGCCTCTGCTGGGTCATTTGGGAGTTTGTCTACAAAGATGATCCATTTCTGGCCACCTGACACCAACTTTCCTTCACCTGCTTCTTTTTCCTTCATCCTCCTTCCACGTCCTTCCAAGAGGCATTAGAAAGGAATTCACCTCTGATCCCCCTCCAAAACCAAGGAACCACAATGCCAGGATGGGCTTTCCCTCTTATTAATGAAAATAATCCCTTGGTCCTCATGGATGGAGGCGGCTGGGGCAGAACAAGAGCCCCAGGAGGTCATTCCTGACCATATTCCCGTTCACTTCCAGGGTTAAGCAACACGAATCCTTCCCAAAAACAAAACAAACCCCCCAAAAGTCTCGCTGAGGAACAAGGAGAGAGGATAAAGCCTCATCCCCTTTGTGCATCCTAGAGGGTGGGAAATGGGCTGTAACATCCACCAGGAAGATTTTAATTCCCTTTACCATGAGGGTCTGGGAGGTGGGGAATGTGGCTGGATAAGTTTTCACCTGCAGGACTCGGGAGTCAAAAGGGTAACAAGGTGATAAGGGTGAAAATCCCCCTCAGTAACCTCAACACTGGAGCTAAAATCCTGGTGGGAATGTTGCCCTGCTCCTCAAAAGCTGCCTGATTCCAGCAGAGGATCTTTGGGAACCTTCAGAGCTGAGGGGAATTTTGTCCACAGGCACTTTGGAGCCGGGGTGGGGGGGGTTGAGCACTGCTGATTCCATGCCAGGGATTCAACAAGTTTCCCATCCAGGGCTGCTCCAAGGAGAAAAGCAAGGGAAGCAGAGGGGCTTTACCCCACGGAAGCATCAAGAGGAGAGGGAAGATGGGACACCAGCATGGAAAAGAGAGGGAAAACCCCTGAATGCAGTGCCCTGGACATCAGGAGAGCTGGGTTTTACGCCACCCCTCCATTCCTGCTGCCCGAATTCCAGCAGCATTCCAGCACCAACCCGGCTCCACGGGACACCCTGCCGGGTTATCCTTTGGTTCTCCCTTTCCAAATCTAATTAATGAGGCAGCTCTAAAGCCCTTCTCCACCCAGTGACAGGCCCACAGACCCCAGCAGGTCCCGGTGGCAGAGCTCAGGGGTGGCCACGCCGGTCACGGACACACAGGAAGAGGTCGCAGCTCCCGGGATCTCCAGAGATCTCCCTTTCCTAAGGTGGAAACCAGCTCTTAGATGGGAAAACGAGGAGAAAAACTGGGAAATCACTTTGCCTTTTCTCCTACCTAAATCCAAACCACCAGCTGGCAAGACACACTAAGGGGTGACCCCCTTCCCTTTGACCGAAGCCCACGAGAAGAACCCAAACCGTGGCTCCTCCCTCCGTTTTTTGTGGATAACAAAAGGAAGGCAGGATGATCCCTTCAACCTGGTCGATCCCACAAGAAAACAGTCCGGGTGTGAGCTTCCCTCTCAGGCTTTAGGATTTCCCAGTGGCTTTCCAAACCCCTGAAAATAGGAGTTTATCCCCCTCCGAGCCTCTTTTCCCAGGGATTGTTTCGCCGGGAGCCTTTTGGGAAAGGGGGGGACTGTGGAGGAGGGGGAAGGTTCCAGGAATATTACAGGTGAATAAAAAAATACATATATTCTCTTTCAACAAGGATCCCAAGTCCAGGGGGGGTTTTGGGAAGGAGGTGCCCAGCTCCCTCAGGAGTGGTGGCTGTTGATGAGGCCGCGGAGCTGCTTGGCCACGGTGTCGATGAGCTTCTGCTTGTCCCGTTCGTTTTTCCGAAACTGGGCAAAAACGTTGTTTTTCCTGCTCGTGTCTCTCATCCTGCACAGAGCAGAAAGAGGTTATGGCACAAGGGGTCGTCACCCCCCGAGCCCCGGGAGGGAATCACGTGGGAATTTCGGGTGTTCGGGGAGGAGGCGCCTGAATTTGAGGGCTCTGTCGCATTTTGGGGGCATCATTTTGCCTTTGCACGGTTGGTTTTTTTGCTCTAAGCCTCACAAATCCCAATCAGTGTCACCACTGTGACAAAATCCACGAAGCCCTAAAGCCTCTCCCTCCAAACAGGTCCCTTCTGAAGTGGTGCACGACAGCGACGTAATTTCGGGAGGAAATTAAAAAATTAGCATCAAATCCACGGAACGAAGGGGTTTAACTTGAAAAGGTGCGTTGCACGAGGCTTCTGTGGAGGTTGGAAAGGTCTGGAGTTGTGAACTTAAAATATTACATGGAATCATGGAATGGTTTGGGGTGGAGGGGACCTTAAAACCATCTGGTTCCAACCCCCTGCCACGGGCAGGGACACCTTCCACTAGCCCAGGTTGCCCAATGTATATATAAATAATTTATATTAATTATAATATGAAATAATTGATATTTAAGGAAGGAATCCAGCTTTTTTGAAGCAACACACTCGTCTGGGAAGGGAAACCACCCCACCAGGATCAACCCTTGAGCAGCTCCTGAAGGTACCAACCTCCCACCACCTGACTGGTTGGGGCTCAGCTCTTCCACAATACCCCAATTTGTACCTGATTTTCTGGGTAAATCAGATCTGGCAGAGGCTGAGGGGCTTTGGATGCATCCCACAATCCTGGGTTTTTTGGCTTTGGAGACCAAAAACAAGGATTAAAGTGACGGGGACACAGCACTGATATTCCCTGGGAAGTCGGCACTTTGATCAGCCCGGGGGGTTTGGAGTTAACTGAGCACAACTCAAACCTCCTGAAATCATTTAACTGGTTACACAGAAAATATCCAAGGGTTTTCATGCTTCAATCTTCCTAAAAAGAGCCAAAGGGAATCTGAAATGTTCCCAAAAACATCCAGCTTGGAAGTGGAAACAAAGATAACAGCTTTATCCCAAAGGCTAATTTACTGGAGTTGTAAATGCCCAAAGATACAGGATTACAAGGGAGCTGCTTTCCCTACAGTAACTGGATAGCCTGGAGCACTTGAATTCAGCAAAATAAGGATTGCTTTTTTATTTTCCCTGGGTTTTTTTTTCCAGAGATGGCTTCCAGCTGCTCCCCTGCAAGAACCAGGGAGCAACCGTGCCCATGGGAAGAGGAGTTTGGAGTTGTCTGGGTTAGACCTGTCCCAGGATCGTGAATTTTGGACACTTCCACAGCTCTGAGCAGCTCCAGAGGCCTCAAAGAGCAACACTAAGAATGCTGAGAGCTCTCTCAGGTTATGTGGGGACATCAGAGGTGCTGAAAGTCAACTTGTACCTTCAGAAACTTCCTCCCAATGTTGTATCCACCACTCTCCATCCCTGCCTGCTCCAGGTATTCCCAGGTGACACACAGGGAATTTAGAGCAGGACTTCCTCTGCCCTGTCCCAGGATCATGAATTTTGGAGAAAACCATCCTCCCATGGGACACCTCCACAGCTCCAAACAGCTCCAGAGATCTCAAAGAGCAACACCAGGAGAGCTGAGAGCTCTCCCAGGGTACGTGGGGACACCAGAGGTGCTGAAAGTCAACCTGTACCTTCAGAAACCTCCTCCAATGTTGTATCCACCACTCTCCACCCCTGCCTGCAGCAGGTATTCCCAGGTGACACACAGGGAATTTAGAGCAGGACTTCCTCTGCCCTGTCCCAGGATCATGAATTTTGGACACTTCCACAGCTCTGAACAGCTCCAGAGGCCTCAAAGAGCAACACTAAGAATGCTGAGAGCTCTCTCAGGTTATGTGGGGACATCAGAGGTGCTGAAAGTCAATTTGTACCTTCAGAAACTTCCTCCCAATGTTGTATCCACCACTCTCCATCCCTGCCTGCTGCAGGTGACACACAGGGAATTTAGAACAGGACATCCTCTGCCCTAAGAGGATCCTGGGCATCCTCAGAGCCATCTCTGACCCTGTGGGACCTGTTCAGGTCCAGGAAGTATTTTTGAAGCAACACATGCTCTATGCAAGAAAACCTTGGTGTGTGTTTGAGTGATTAGAAGAGAGCTGGATGGATAAAACCACCAGATGAGGATGGAAAGGAATTGCAGTTGGAGCACTGATCCCCCAGCAAACCCACAGGTGGGTCAGTTAAAGCCTGGGAGGGGTGGGAGCTGCTGGTTCCTCCAGACACCACGTGAAGGTAGAAGCACTGAGCCATGAAGTATTACTGATGAATTAAATTCCCCACAGGACACCGAATCCTGCAGGATTTGGGTTGTGCTGTGCAGATTCACAGTTCCATTTCTCTGAGAGGAGCCCTGGGACGACTGAGCCCGGGTCTGTAACATCAGCGCTGGGATGAGAAGTGAAAGGAAGGGAAAGAGAGAGCTCAGCTCCGTCCCCACCCCTGTCAACAAACACCCCCTTCAACAGAGCCAAGCTTTGTTTAAATTAATCTATAAGGAAAAAAAAGGGAAGGGAGTAAAAGCTCCTCTTTTAGCTCTAATTAGTGCATTTGAGACGCCAAAGTTCCCGGAGGGCCCCGTTTTCAAAGGCAGTTTGCATTTCCATCGTTTAGTGCTCCATTTAAACCAAACAATCAAGGCACTGCAAGGTGAGGGTGAAAGCCCAGGCAGGCAGAGTCCTTACACTCGGGGTATCCTGGGAGAGATGTGCCGTTGGGAAAAGAGATAATGATGGAAACGGGTCACAAACCCAGCCAGAGGATCGGAATTTCCCCCCTGCCTCGAGGGCTGGGAGCACCGAGCTCAGGGAGGATACTCAGGGGAGCTGGAGCTGGTGGGTGATGGACAGAGACCCCCCCAAAAAGGGCCTGAAGTCCGAGTGAGGAGAGGGCAGAGCTCCTGGAGTGGCACAAGGATGAGGGACATGCAAGTGTCAACCCGGTGATTTCACCGGGGGTTCCTCCAGAAATTCAGTTGGATACGTGAAGATTGTCCTTCAGATTCCTTTCCATAATGGCAAGGAGTGATGGGACAAGGGGGAATGGCCTTAAGCTGAAGGAGGGCAGGGTTAGATGGGATATTGGGAAGGAATTCCTGGCTGGGAGGGTGGGGAGGCCCTGTCCCAGGTTGGGCAGAGAAGCTGTGGCTGCCCCTGGATCCCTGGAAGTGTGCAAGGCCAGGTTGGAGCAACCTGGTCTGGTGGAAGGTGTGGGTGGGGAACTGGATGACCTTTAAGGTCCTTTCCAATCCAAACCATTCCATGATTCCATGACTATGAAATGAGATCCCTTTAGGGGAGATCAAGCAAGTCAAGCTGGGGTTTGGTGGCTTCTTAATACCATCACCGAGCATGGAGCTGCTTCTCCTGCTGTCCCACTGCCTTCCCAGCTCACTGCCTGCCTCCAATTCCCTGGCTCTTCCAGCTGCTTCGTGCCCAAGGGCTCAGATTTTTGCTGGCTCTTTATTTTACCATTTTACCAATAGCCCTGAAAACCCCTCAGGCTTTGGCATCACAGATCTTTGGTGTTTCCCTTCCCTTAAGGGTGGGATGGCCCAGGATGTCAGCTTGGGAAATCACAGAAATATGGAATTATTTAGGTTGGAAAAGCCCTCTAAGATCACCCAATCCAACCATTAACCCCACACTGCCAAGGCCACATCCCTAAATAACACATCCCACAACACGTGAAGTACCCACAGAACAACCATCTCCGTGGTATAAAAGTGCTTTAAATGCAGAAAACTCCCGGAGTTTAATCCCCATGGAGCATTTGGCAACATCTGGATGTCTCGAGATGCTGTGGAATGAGTTCTTTTCCTCTGCTGGAGAGGAGGGCGAGGTTATGTGGACCTCAGATGATGCAGCTCCAAAGCTCAGGAACACCCCAAGGTCACTCATAGGATAATTTGGGTTGGGAGGGACCTTTAAGGATGTCCAGTCCCACCCCCTGCCACGGGCAGGGACACCTTCCACGAGCCCAGGTGGCTCCAACACGGCCTTGGATGTTCTAGAAGTGTGGCCTCAACCTACTCAAACCCAACTGCATCCCTGGAAGTGTCCAAGGCCAGCTTGGAGCCACCTGGGCTCGTGGAAGGTGTCCCTGCCCATGGCAGGGGGTGGCACTGGATGGGCTTTAAGGTCCCTCCCAAGCCAACCATTCCAGGATTCCATGATGGTTTTATCCTGCCTGTTCCTCCATGCAAGACTTAGCAGTGGGGTGCCCGTGGAACGAGCTGCTTGGATAATTATTAATTATCATTTTTGGCTGGTCTCTTCTCTGTCCCATCTGCTGGAACACCAGCTGTGAGGTCTGAGGGGGCAGGAGGGGAGTAGATCCTCCCAAAACCAGCTTGGAGGTCACCTACAGGCACTGTCCCTGTCCCACAGGGCTTTTAGCACTTGATCCTCTCCATGGATCCAACAGAAGGGAGATGGGAGTAGAAATAACAGAAATAGAAATAATATAATATAACAATAATAATAATAATAATAGAATTTAATAAGAGAATATTTTCAGTTGGAAGGGACCTCCAAGGATCATCTGGTCCAACTGCCCAACCACATCAGGGCTGACCAAAAGTTGAATCCTGCTGTCAAGGGCATTGTCCAAATGCCTCTTAAACACTGCAAAATTTGGGGTGGGTTTAGATTAGATATTGGAAGAATATCTTGTCTATTTTTTTTATATATACATATATATGTCTATTTTTTCATATATACATAAAATATATATTATATAATAATTGATACAATACAATATTGATATATATTGTATATTGAATATCTCGTGCCTACAGACCAGCAAATTTTAAATCATTTTGGGGCCTGAGATCCCACCTTTACAGTGGAATTTTGCTGTAAGACCAGGAAAACTCTGCTTAGGAGTGAAATAAAAACACAGACCCTCAGCCAAGTCCATGAATTTTGATAAAAAACCGGGATTCAAGTCAGAGGGATAAACCAGGAATTTTCTATTTGAGCTCCCACTGTTCACCTGGGGGGGAAAATCTTTGCTCCCTGGATCCCGAGGAGCCTCCTGCTCTCCGAGCTGCTCCATCCCAGCACCGCCGGGATGGAATGAGCTGCCAAAGCGAGACTGGGGGGAAAACTATCCCGGGATTCCGGAGCCACACTCACTTTTCCAGCAGGACCAGGGCAGTCGTGGGGTTCACACGGAGGTACTTGCACGTGGGCTGCCCATAGTCAGCCAAATACGTCGACCAATCCCACTGGATGAACAGATCTAAGAGCTGGAAAGGGAACAAAAAAAAAAAAAAACGGATAAAAGATTTTTAATAAACTGGAAAAGGGAGCAGGTGGTTTAGCTGGAAGCTGGCAAAGGTCCTGGACAGGTGGAGTTCACCACCAAAAATGGCTTGAAGGCTTTATTAATTTGTTTATTATGGTTCTGCTAATGTTTAATTATCAAGTGTTATTAATTTATGAATACTTAATGCTGATTTATGCATGACTATGTTAATTTATAGTGCACTCCTGCTCCGTTATCTCTGGTTTTGGGGTGAAGTAGTGGATTTGAGGTTTGAGACATCCCGAGAAGGTGGGTGGGGAAGGACCCCAGAGCCCTGAGTCTCCCAGCCCTGGCAGGAGGACGCTTTTGGGGTCAAAGTCACCACAGATTTCTACAGTCCCCAAATAACCCCTGGTGTTGTTTGACCCATTCCCCCGGGATCTCCCACCACACTTGTTCCATCTCAACACCTTCCAAGTGCTTTGGGAGTGTCTCCAAGGAGCAGAACTCCCCGGGGAGGTGTGGGACCCGCTCAGGAGCTCTGGGGTTTATTTTGGGTGGATGCATCTCCCAGAGCCTGGAAGTCCCATGTGCTTTCCAGCCCTCTGCGAGAGAAACCATCGGGTCCAACAGCGGGGGGAGGAAAAGAGGGTTAATTACAGAATCCCAGGAAATGCTGAGTTGGAAGGGACCCACAAGGACCATGGAGTCCAACCAGCCCTGCACGGGTCCAGCCCTGAGAATCCTATGTGCCAACTGTGACAGTCCCAGCTCCAGACCTCCAAAATTCCCACCTGGTCAACTCCACAAGCGCCCCAGTGCTCCCAGAGGAGTCAGGGAGGGATGACCAAACTACAGACCAGGCTTCCTAAATGCTCTGTTCCCATCCTTTTTTTTCCTTAAAACCCAACCAGGAGCTCCCACATCTTTCCCTCACCCCTCAGTGGCTTTCCCACCCACACCCACAGCTGAGGATCCATGGGATGCAGCCTTCACCTCCACCATCTAA